TGCTGCTTGGCCTGCTGTGTTCATCCAGCCCTGCACCTTGTTGTCTCGGATTCTCCAGCATCTGCAGTTCCTACTATCTCTGGTGGAACCTGAGTTCATTTAATTTTTGAATTTCAATTCTGGAGTTGAAAATCAGTCCTAGTAATGATGACTGTGAAACTAGCTGTTGTAAAAGCCCACCTGGATTAGGGAAGGAAATCTGCCAGTCACTTACATGTGACTCTTGACCCACAGAAATATGAATGACTCTTAGCTGACCTCTGAAATGTCAAAGGAAGCCACTTATTTCAAGGGCAATTAGAAATGGGCAACAAATGCTGACCTTGTTAACAGCCCCATGCCACGGAACAGCAAAATTATTTTTTGAAACATTGCAATTTCTGAAACACTTTTATGCCCTTGAAATAGAAGACAGCAATATATACACCAAGGAACGTAAATTCTGTGAATTATACAGCGACTTATAATTCAAGACGTGTTTTTTTATTTGTTTTAAAGTTTCTGCTTTTTCTGCTTATATTTGTGGAGAAGATTTCAATAACAGAGAATGGACCTCCTTGCGCACATCAATTATGGCTAAAGCCAGACATACACTCCCTCTGCTCTTGTTTGATATAATAAATTTATGCTGCCCTCAATTTCCAGAAAGCACCCTCTTGTTACAGAGTGTTAGAGTTATACAGCACGGAAACAGAACCTTTGGTACAACTCATCCATACCGACCAAGTTTCTCAAACCAAACTAGTCCCATTTGCCTGCGTTTTGCCCATATCTTTCAAAACCTTTCCTATTCATGTGCCTGTGCAAATGTCTTTTAAATGTTGTAATTGTACCTGCATCTACCACTTCCTCTGGCAGTTCATTCCACAAACGAACCACCCTCTGTGTGGAAATGTTGCCCTTCAGGTCCCTTTTAAATCTTTCTCCTCTCACCTTACAATTATGCCCTCGAATCCCACCATTTTTTCAGTTCCCAGTACATTGGCCCAGATCAGCAATTCCTGCTGAATTGAAATCAAGCCCTCAACTTATCCAATTTGGTACTCAATGAAAGATGCAAAGTGTTTCACTGCGTATTCTTGTACATTTGTTGGGTAGACCATAACTGCTGTAATCCATCTGGCAGTAAACAGTGAGTTAAGGCTATAACGTGTTGTCAAGTCAGTTCATATCAGCCTGTCCAGCATCTGAAAAACTCTTACTGCCCAAATCCCATTCTGCATCAAGTCCCCGCCAGGCTGATCCACATTGCTTTCCAGTTTGCCAATGCTTTGAGCCTGAAGTCCCCATCTTTCTATTCAACTTCCTTCATGGCCTCACCAACTTGCCATCTCCATAATCTCCTCCAGCCAGATGACTGTCCTCCAATGCTGGCCCTTTGTGCATTCTCCAGTTCTCTCACCCCACCCATGATGGCCCTGGCTTCAGCTGTCCTGGCCTGGAACCCTGCAATTCTTCCTTTGCCTTTCTCTCTCTACTGCCGCTGAAATTGTCTTTAAAAATCTGTCAGTTTGACCAAGGACACCTGTCCTGAGTTCCTTCTTTGGCTCTGTGAACTTCTGTTTGATTATGTTCCTGTGAATTGCTTTGAGATGTTTCATTACGTTTAATAAAATAACATAAATGCAAGTTTTGTAACAGATTCAACATATTCAAAATATGCTTCCCTTTACTAACAGGGTAGTGGGTAGCACTGCAGTACTAACAACTGAAATACAATAAGAGTTGCAAACATGACAGTATTAACAATTATTAACGAATTCCCAAAGTAACAACAATATGTACCTCATTTGGCTAATATTCCAATATGCAGTCAGTGCCATTGCAAACAGAATACTGTTGAGTAGCAAAAGGGAATAAGCAGAAATTCTGATTATTTAGAAAAAGAGGCATCATATAGAGATTAGCACTGTCTGATATTAATTACTGTAGTATGGTAGTAGTTGGAAGGCTTTTAGTCCTTAACATAAGGTTAACTTTCTTTTTGGTAATAATAAACTAGAACAAATAAATGCACACTTTAAACAGGTACATGCTCTTATTAAAAAATGCAAAATCCCTCCATAAGTACAGTAGGTTAATGTGTTGGTTTCTGGACTGTTTTGCAGCTTTCAAAATATGCAGAAGCTTTCTACTGCACAGTTACAACATCCTTTGTAACAGAGAAAGTTTTCATTCAAGAAAATCTACTCTCTGCATTACTGAACTAAGAGTCAACAATGGTGTTTTAGCTCCGCTGCATGGAACAGTCACCCAGAGACTGCAGCGTATAAAGTTAGAAGGTGAAACTTTACACTGAATAGAAATGATGAGAAAGGAAAATACATAAACAGATAACAATTCTGGCAGTTTGTGATTTTGCAGACAATATTATTAAAGAACATTGCTCTCATAGTTGCATTGTGCACTCCAATTGCTCTGTGGTGATCGTATGTGAAAATGTTTGCTCATGACGGTGTTGACTCAGTACAGATGTATGGAAACACAAACAGCCTTAGCAAGCGAAGGAAAATTATCTTTTCAGTCAATCTACCGAAAGTCTGTTCTTGGTTTAAAATTTCGTTTTCATACGAAGGAAGCTTTCAGTGCTGCCAGTTTAGGTAGATCTGTGCAAGAAAGCTGGCTTAAATGAGTGCTGCACGCAGGTTCAAATTCGCCTGAGTAAAACAAAAGAACTGGTTACTGTTAACCATAAGGCAATCAAATTACAGCAGAATTAATTTGGATAACACGGCTTTGGCTGATCCTTGGATGTGCAATCAGCAAAACAAGAGTTAAAATTTATCACTTGATCCGTGTACTTAGGATGTTAACAGTTTTCCCGTCCATGCTGACTTTGTATCATAAAGTAATGCAGGAAATTAATACTGTGGTTAAGTGGTTAATAGTGAAATTAATGTGGGGCTTTTAGAAAGGCCAAGAGGTAAAACAGATAAACTTTTCTTCTTGCCTGAAAATAGCTAACTGAATGAGTGAGAAAAAAGTACGTGCACCATTTAATATGTGGTGCTATGCTGTGTTGCACAGACTTACATTCACCAGCTCCAGATGTGAGAAGAGATTTGAGGTATAGGCTCATAAATCATTTTTTTGTTAATCGCATCATTTTTAAATGAGCAACTGTCAAATGGGGGAAGGATCTCCCACAAAATGAATCATCAAGTAAGCTTTTACTTCTGTGCTTTAAGCCACAGCAATTGGTATTCTTCAGTCCATCTGTCACAGAATAGAGCAGCTTTTTAAAAGGTAACCAAATGTCTTACTCTTCTAGTCTATGTGACGGTTTTAAAAGATTCTTTTGCTTACTGATCGTTTAACAAGGAAGTGATGACCTAGTGCTATTACCACTGGTCTATTAATCCGGAGGCGCAGGTAATATTCTGGGCACCTGGCTTCAAATATCGGCACAGCAGATGGTGGAATTTGAGTTCAGTAAAAATAATCTAGAATTAAGAGTCTAATTAAGATTGTCGGGAAAAACCCCTCTGGTTCACTAATGTCATTTAGGGAAGGAAACTGCCATCCTTAGCTCATCTGGCCTACATGTGATCCCAGACGCAGAGCAACATGGTTGACTCTGAACTGCCCTGTGGGCAATTAGGGATGGGCAATAAATACTGGTCTAGCCAGAGATGCCCTCATCCCATGATTGAATTCAAAAAAATCATTAGAATATATAATAAAATATTCTAATAAAAAAATGTGATTGAATTTGCAGCTTTCCAAGCCAGGTTGGAACATGGCTTTTCAATGTACCTTTATCACGAGTATGTTTTGAATTAACACTGATTGTCTAAAATTATTATTAGTTGTCATAGTAACTGGAATTATTGATTAAAAAATATATTACTTTCAGGCCAATACTTCCTGTGTAAAACCTGACCTCTGCAATAGAATTCCCAAGATTCAAAAAAGTGCTATCACTAAAGGTGAACTTTAAATGGGTGGTAACGATCCCTTAATAATATGTTATCCATACATTTTAGCAGGCAAAGTATATGAACCATTAGGCCTAAAGCAGGGCTCCTGAACAGTATTAAAAGCAGAATAGAAAGTAATTAATACAATGGAAAAAAGAATTCATCCCTTTCATTTAGTTTCATTTTTTTAAAAATTGTTTTGTTTTACTCACATGATTACTGAGACGAAGATGACTAATGACACGCAATAATCCAAAACATGCAACTTCAACAGTTGCAAAGCAAATGCAATCATACCAGAAATTTTATACGCTAGCCAAGTATAAAAGCATTCGGAAAGCATTGCCCCTTACCAATTATCATATTGCAAGCTTCAAGATCTACTGGGATAGTTAGAGCAGTGGACTATTTGTGGGTTCCTCTTCATCTGGGCAAAGAAAAATCCAACACAACTGCAGCTGCTTTTAAATAATCATATGAAATACGAAAATAAATGCTTGCACTCAGCAAGAAATACAACGTTTCAGTCTTGTGCTTCTTTTAAAAATACAGTAAAGTTTGAAACTGAAACAATACTGAGTTTTGTCAATCTTCCGGTTTGTAACTCTAAACAAAGTTTTCCAGTAGTTAATATTGACCGTTAGATCTGCTGCAAAATAGATTTGTGTATTTCTATGCTCTCCCTACAATACAATTCATTAATACCAAGATTAGATGTGATTCTAACAATGCATCAGAATAGGGAAGCCCAAGGATTCATCCAAATTTCTCCTTCAGGCCCTATCATCATAATTTGGAAATGTTGTGAGTGCCAGCAGAGTGCTTCAATTAACCGTGCCTGTCGGGCCAAACCAACTTTTGCTGATATCATGACACATAGGACTGCCCAGGGAGAAGTATTTAAAGACAGCAAGGATAGGAATTGAGAAGAAGCTCACGTTAAAATTCAGGCCCCACTCTCTTGAATGCCATCATTTTGGATTGTGTTGTATTACAAGAAACAGACAATCAGCCAGCTGTTTTCTTACTAACACCAAATGTATTAAATCCTTTCTTTTCTTCCACCAACTGTTTTAACTTATTTTATATACCAATGTTTTATATAACAATTGCAAATTAATTAGTCTAAAGAAAATATTGCGTTCTTCATTCTACACATAGTTGTAGTTGAAAAGTTATGAATGTGAATTAACAAATCAAATCTAACCATCTACACCACTACACAAATGGACAACAAAAGCAGCCTAATGTGGAGACACGGCAGATGGACGAGATGGTGCCCTTGTCTACCTTGCACAAACAGTCACACCCATATTTTGACTACACCGCAACCTTTTTCTGGGTCCCTTCACTGATGGGCAAAAAAATGCCTTACAATCAGTAAATGCTGCAAACATTCAAAGAACTCATTCATAATCTGTTCTGTTTTTGTGGGTTTTTTTTTTCCATGCCTTCTCCACCTGGATCTTTTCAAGGACGTTGTTTTGATTACAAATTCACACACGAACCAAGCTTGGGAGATTTACATTAGAGATCATCTTTGAAAAAAGTAGAATTTAAGTGCTGTGCATTATTGGATTTAAACACAAAGCAGAGTCATCTTTTTATCAGAATTCTATTACTGATCCAGAATATGGGACATTTTTGGGATTAACATTTTATTTTACTGTTATCATAAATATACGGTGACCAAGATTCCAGCTGACTTCGTCTTGAAAACAATGTCTCCTCTGGATCATTCACCCGTTTCATTAAGCTCATATCCACGGTTCTTTCAGCGTCAGTGCAAGCACTACATTGAAACCTCAACCATTTGCATTTGTTTCTTGAAATGCTAATTGTAAACTTTCATAAATAGCTGTAAAGCTTCTAGACAGAGTTTTTCAAAGAGAAGCACTGTTGACTGAGCATCGTAACTTATTTTTTGATACACACAGAAAAGGCATTATAACTTCCTAATAATCAATAACTTTCATCAGTCTTTTAAATGCACACCATGCAGACAGCTCTAATTAAATAAAAGAGTCATCTAATTTAGAGACTTGCTGCTGTGAATTATTTTCATCTCCACAGTAATTGGTATAAATCTAAGTGGCAAAAACAAAAGCAACATGCTTTATCTTTCTGAATTCAACTAGCAGAATGTTTATTAAAAAACCAAGAACTACAGATGCTGGAAATCTAAAACAAAACAGAAAGTGCCAGAGAAACTTGGCAGGTCTGGCAACATCTGTGGAAAGAGAAAGCACAGTCAATATTTTAGGTCCAGTGACATTGGTTCTGATGAAGGTTCACTGGACCTGAAATGTTGAATCTGCTTTCTCTTCACAGATGCTGCTCAACCTGCACGGTTCCTCCAGCAATTCCTTTCTTTCATAGCAGAATTTCTAGCTGCCTTTCTGTGTGACACAAAAGAAGGAGGCTCTTACCACGATTCTGTAAAAGCTGTGCTTGTGCCAAGGCGTGCTGCGTATAGTAGATGGCTTGGCAGGTTGGGCTTGGAGTCTGTGTAGACTTGTCGCAGCTTGTGGGTTTAGTCATCTGTCCACTGTCTGTGTCAAGAGAATAGTATCCACTGGACAACCTGCTGGATCTCGAAGATGGGGTAACAGAGGAGTTTGGTCCACGCAAGAAATTAAGATTAAAGAGCGGACATGTTGTAACGAAGTTTGGAGACAACTGGATGCTTTCGCACCTTGAGCTAGGAGAAGATTGCTCATAAAGCTCACCTCTTGACATGCTTGTGATGCTAAGTCTGGAATGGAGATGATGTTTGGTTCCCAGTCGGATCTGCTTTCACTCCTATGGAGCACAAAGTAGTTGCATTTTTTTCCTGTGAAGAAAAGAAAAAAGAAAATCTCAAGTCATAAAAGATGTTATTAAAGTTTTTATATTTGTCAATCTTTTATGTTGCATTCTTATTTATTGCCTCGTCACCAATAAACAGAAACAAAATAATGAACAAAAGCAAGTCATAATTCAAGTATCCTTCCAGCTTTTAAGTCCTGCTAACTTGGCTGCCTTTTTCAAAGTTTTATTTTAAAAGCATTGTATATTATATATGTACAAACGTTAAATGGCTGTTGCCTCGATCATACAGTTACCCATGAAGGTAACCACTTGGGTTAAAAATAAAGATTGCATCTTTCTAAATGAGTCTTCTGTGGGGCAAACAAGTCCAATATTTTCAACTGACTCTCAACAGATACTTTCGCAGTTAAAAAAAAGACATTTCCTGTCCTCAGTTTTTGTGTGGGGATTAAAACAGCAGTCTGTTCACTGAGATTTGTCAACTGCTGTAGAGAAGGTAGCCCAAATTTCTCCAGCACTACAGCTATTGTTGATCCTGGCATAAAGTCAAGTTAACTGCTTCCGATGAATCCCTTAGGTCAGGATTGTCAAATTTAAACTGGCTTTTGGGGTACTACCATTAAATTGCTTTTCCTTTTCCATATCATTACTATCAGAAGCTTCCAAAAGAAAGTTGTGTGAATTGAATCAGACTAAACACACTATACAATCTGGCTTCGTACTGAAAAAATGTGTCTATTACACCTGCTAAGCACTTTAATGGTTATATGCTGATTTGAATCACAGATGTGACACAAAAGAAAGACATGTGTCACACTGTTTCAGTGCCAGCTCTTTCAAAGCGCCATCCAGTTGGTCCCACTCTTTCCGCTTATCAGTGCAATATTTCCTCCTTCATGTATGTATCCATTCCCTACCAATGAATCTGTATCCATCACCCGATCAGCCAATGTTTTCCAATCTGGTTATTGACCCCTTGGCCCTTGCAAACCCTTGTAACCTGTATTTACTCTATTTAAACCCTGCATTATTTTAAACTGTCTATGGTTTATATTGATTCTTAGCAAGTTTCATCATTATTTTGTTATTGTTAAATGTTTATCATTCAGTGCTGATTATTTTACTGGATAAACAAATGGGTGAAAACTTCACAATGTCAACTAACACTTCAAGGTAGATGTAATCTAGAATTAAAAGTTTGGATTTTATCACCAAGACAGAAAAGCATATTCAGAATGAGCTCTGATAAATTTTTGTTAAGTACCTCACCCCAGTTGACTCCATACATAGATATTTGCTCAATGTGTCTCATTGATACAAACCAAGAAGGGGCCTGGGTTTAATCAATACGATAGTAATGAAAATACCATACAATGTCTCACTGTCCTTAGGTGGAATTGAGATGCCATTTGGTCAAATAGCATGTTAATGTTTATTGTCCACATTCATGCATTCATGCGCCCAACATAGTCGACAGAAGAAACAGTGGGGTAATTTCATCCTAAAACTCCCTTGGCAAAAATTATATGTAGCCTGCTTTCCTATGCACCACGGCATTTTACCTGCTGCTCACCCAACTTTTTATAATGTAATTGTGCCCCTCTGATCTGTTCCTGTTATTTTTTTTTGCAACCAGTACCAAAGAAAGTCATCCATTGCCTTTGAATGTTCTTCAAGAAATTGGGTAATTAACTAACCCAGTACTAAAAATGATAACGTTTCACCATGATGGTTCATGTTTAAGATACATATATTTTAACTGAGACGTTTCTGAAGCAGATCATTCTTCAATGATTTGTTCAGTTCACTTGCTTCTAATGCTACACTTGTAAACTCTGAATCTTAAGCGAACTGTCTTGGCAAGAAAATAATAAAACGTGAAAAACGTTGAGTCAGAGGCAAGCAAGTGTAATATACTCCCATATCTTCAGAATAGTGCAGCTATGTCCAACTAGAATCATTTCCCGATTTTAATAATATATCACCTCATTGGTTAATTCACTTTAAAATTTAGATTTCGGTCAAAGTCGCAGAACACTTTCCAGGCTCACGTTTAAACTGCAGAAGGAGCTTTACATTAAACCGCGAACTGGAGTCTCTGCTCCCGAGAGAAATATGTTTTCGTGCTGATGAAATCTGGTAGTAAGAGATGTGAGGGAACACTAGACATGGATCTGGCGTCTTTCCTACTACAGTTCCATTGTTCTGTGCAAAGTGCTGAGCGCAGCCTTTTCACAACTGGCGAGTGCGTCACAACTTTCCCAGTGTCAACAATACGGGTCCGATACTCAC